TTTCACCATGTTGCCCAGGCTGGTCTCAAACTCCTGAGCTCAGGTGATCCACCCATCTCGGCCTCCCACAGTGCTAGGATTAGAGGCATGAGCCGCCGCACCCAGCCTCATTGAAGCGTTTTTGTGATGACTGTCTTACAGTCTCTGTCCGTCAATTGTAACATCTCTGTTGTCTTAGCGATGGCATCTGTGGACTCTCTTTTTTCATTCAGTTTGAGATCTTCCTGGTTCTTAGTATGAGTGGTTTTGTTGTTGTTGTTGTTGTTGTTTTCTTTTTTTTTGGAGGCGGAGTCTTGCTCTGTCTCCCAGACTGGACTGCAGTAGCATGATCTCGGCTCACTGCAACCTCTGCCTCCTGGTTCAAGCGATTCTCCTGCCTCAGCCTCCCAAGTAGCTGGGATTACAGGTGCCCACCACCATGCCAGGCTAATTTTTATATTTTTAGTAGAGACGGAGTTTCACCATGTTGCCCAGGCTGGTTGGTATGAGTGATTTTTTAAAAAATATTGAAACCTGAACATTTGAGTACAGTAAGTCCTCACTTAACTTTTTTTTTAAATTTTTTATTTTATTTTATTTTTTTGAGACAGAGTCTTACTCTGTCGCCAGGCTGGAATGCAGTGGTGCAATCTCAACTCACCGCAACCTCCGCCTCCCGGGCTCATGTGATTCCCTGCCTCAGCCTCCCGACTAGCTGGGATTATAGGTGCCTGCCACCACACCCGGCTAATTTTTGTATTTTTAGTAGAGATGGGGTTTCACCATGTTGCCCAGGCTGATCGATATGAGTGATTTAAAAAAAAATATTGAAACCTGAACATTTGAGTACGGTAAGTCCTCACTTAACATTATTATTATCATGATTTTGAGACGGAGTCTCACTCTGTCACCCAGGCTGGAGTGCAGTGGCGCGATCTCAGCTCACTGCAACCTCCACCTCCTGGGCTCACGTGATTCCCCTGCGTCAGCTTCCCGACTAGCTGGGACTACAGGCACCTGCCACCATGTCTAGCTAATGTTTTTGTATTTTTAGTAGAGATGGGGTTTCCCCATGTTGGCCAGGATGGTCTCCGACTCTACCTCCTGATCCGCCTGCCTCGGCCTCCCAAAGTGCTGGGATTACAGGTGTGAGCCCGGTCCCACTTAACATTATTGATAGGTTCTTAGAAACTGTGACTTTAACCAATGCGAAGAGCGTAACTCTTCTTCATGTCAATTGTGGTAAAACCGGTTTTGTTGTGCAGTACGTTGTTTCCCCAGGTGCTTTTCAGCCTACAGCATTGTGTTCATATTTCACACCTGGACCGTGTTCTGTTCTCCCATGTTCTATGTCCTGTTCTGTGCCAAAAAATACTTTACTGTTATTTTGGAGGTGCTAGAGAAGGGATAGAGAGAGGTGTGTGTGTGCGTGGGTGTGTGTGTGTGTGTGTTTGAGACAGGGTCTTGCTCTGTCACCCTGGCTGGAGTGCAGTGTTGTGATCACAGTTCACTGTGGCCTCAAACTCCTGGACTTCAGTGATCCTCCCACCTCAGCCTCCTGAGTGGCTGGGACTGAGGCATGCACCACCATGCTCGGCCTACATTTTTAATTTTTGTAGAGACAGGGTCTTGTTCTGTTGCCCAGGCTGATCCCCAACGCCTGGGCTCAAGTGATCCTCCCACCTCGGCCTCACAAGGTTCTGGGATTACAGGTGTGAGCCACCATGCCTCACCGTACATACCAATGTTAATCCAGAATGCTTTTCAAAATTATCAGTCTTTAAGATATTAATTTATGGCTGGGCGCAATGTCTCACGCCTGTAATCCCAGCCCTTTGGG